GCATGGTGCTTAGTTGCCAGCTGGGGTTAAACCACAACACTGAACACATCTTACCATAAAGTCAATATATTTTAAATATAAGAAACTAGTATGGGAGGAAAATAAAGAGCTGCCAGTAATTATAGACCTTATATTGAGGCTTTTGATAAAGACAGTGGGTAGCAATTCCAAGTGGCTCAGAGGTGTAGGGCTTAGCTCTTTGGACAAATTAGGCCCTTTTAACATTTTTCAAACTGAGAACCTGAATCTTTGAGTGCCCAGCTCACCAATCATTCTGAAAATCTCAGATTGTTTTACTCTAACAATGAAATTAAACAATTCAATATTAAGATAGCATTAAAGAGGAAACCTGTAATGAACGCACCTTGCAGAGAAATTGCTGATAAAAAGGGGAAATATACTATCATTTTGTGATCATCTGCTTAATGACATTATCTTTCTTTTCTTTCTTTCCCCTTTTTTATCTCATGTAGTTGTCCAGTGGGCTACTCTGGAGAGAACTGCAAGAACAGTAAGTACAAGAATTTCTAATTTTTAATTGCAGCATGGAAAAATACCCAGTAATGTTTAATCTGACTGAGATAACAAAAACAACAAGTAGTAGCCTTTAGGGGTGCCACCATCCTGTATTGATAGCAGGAAAACGTTAGAAAAAAATGAGAGAAATTCCACTGTTGCTTGGAAGGAAAAATCCTTCTTGAAACACATGTTCAGACAGACAGTAGCATTTCCTCTAATGACCTCTGCATTAAGCCCAGTAGTTTTTAGTGAAACACAGGTTATTTGATAGAAAGCATTTAGTCCCTATTTAAAGACATGCAATGCTGAACTCAGTGCCACTAATGGATTAGTTTCTCCTGTAATTGATCACTCCCTCTATTAAAATATCAGTGGATTATTCTCATTTTAAATGTTTCTGTTTTAATATCTAACCACTGGTTCTTGTTTGTGCTTTACCTTGCAAGCAAGCACTGCATAGTATCTAGTATTCTATACTGGTGAAGAGATGATGGCCCTGACTGTGTTATCCCATAATTGTAATCATCTGGACAAGCTAACCAGACTGGCCTTCCAAAGCTTTTTCCCTTTTCTGAGTCAGTTTCGCAGCTATTCACTGCACCTTCTCCAATGTCCACCATTGTATAGATTAGGAGAGGACATTCTTCATGCCTTCTATTGTTTGCACGTGCCTAAACTCAGAACATCTAATACAGTCAAAGACAGGCTGAAAAATGCACAGTTATGGTTCTCCACTCCTCAGAACTCCTTTGGCTTTATTTGAGCAAAAGGTATATCCTCACGTGGCCCTTTGGAGTCTCACACTGCTGCATTCTTAAACGTATACATGTTTAACATACCTGTGTCTGCAGCTGTGAGATCTTCAAGGGTTTTCTTCTGGTTTTGCCTGTAAGTTTTGGAGATTGGCTAATAGTAGTTGTAGTGCAGCACAGAGAATATTACCAGGTGTAAATGTTTGGCAGGAAGGGTATTTTTTATCACATGGAACATATTTTTCTAGAGAAAATTTTGGGAATTTTAAGGCCTTTTTCACAAAACAAATGAAAATGCTAAATCAGCACAAAATCAATGCATTGCAAATTTAAACATGAATTTGGGACCTGCTAATAATAAATGCCATTAATAGCCTCATCTTCACCATATGACACTTGGTGGGTATTGATGTAAAAAGTTTGCTGAGCAGTAACCAAGGATCCTTTCCACATGTGTTTGGCATAATGCTCTTTTGAGAAACCGTAATCCCTGTTGTCTCACTGTGTACTCCTATGATTAAATGTGCTGGATTGTTCTGGTGGTAAGGGCACGGTTGGTGGTTTCATGTTGTGTATCTCCAGTATAGCCATTCAGTATACTAAATTGCAGACTCATAAATCCAGACTGGGATCTTCACGTAGGTCCCACCAGTAAGGTTGGGTAGCTCAAGAGACTGTCTTACTCTTCATACCCTTATCTTGAAATTATGCCCTGCAGGACACAATTCTCTCTTTTTTTTTTTTTTTTTTCCTTACCATGGCTATACAGAGCTAAGACTAGATTTTAGTAGCAATTCCATTCACAGTTGAAGGAATATATGCAGAATCCAGGCCTTCTTCCCTTAGTCATTCTGGTTCTGCAGCAAGATCAGTGAAAATGAATTTTTCTTGACAAACATTTATTCAGATACGGGATATTTATGCAGTGTTCATAGTGCTACATAACAGACATCTCAAATCAGTGTGTCTTATGTGCCTAGAGCATGCGAAGAGCATATTTGATACCTAGCTACATATTTTAGCAGCAATACTAGTTCAGGCAACCCTTATTTCCTCCCAGTTTTCCCTGTCCCTCAGCTATACTGCAACAACTATGTGTGAAGCCATTCAGTGCATGGGATTAGGAAACTGAGCTGGGATCAAAAGAGCCATCCAGAAGAGATGGTCTTTAATGCAGATCAGTTCCTTCCTTTACATCTTTCTGTGTCCACTGACAGTTGTACTGTGAGACAGGAGCCTGGGGATGAATAATATCTATCTTTCTGTCTGTCTGCCTTACAAGAGACAGGACTTGGTTTGCAATATTTACCATGAATTTTCAATATCTGTTTCTGTTTGTTTTGTTTTGTTTTGTTTTTTTTCCAGATAGTGAACTCATCCTTATAATAGTGGGTACAGTGTTTGGAGCAATTATCCTGAGTTTAGTGATAGCAGTCTCTGTTGTTTCAGTAAGGTAAGATTATTTATGACAACTGAATAGAAGCTGCATTGCTACATTTTCCTAGAGAACTAAGCAGAAATTTGGAGAGGGGCAGGGCTGTGAATATGGTTGCATGCCTAGTTGGGCAGACAAGTTCATTTAAGTCATGTAGCCATTAGAATTTGGTTTTGCCTGTGTGCTCTCCCCAGAAGTATTTATTCTTTTGCTATGAATCTGACCATGAAACCTTCAGACAATTCTTTGAAAATACACACCTGACCCATTAATCCTAATCCTGGATGAGGCATCTGGAGGAGACTGAAGAACAGTGCTGATATCAGAAGACTGTGTGGCCCAAACTCAGATCCTCTGCAGCTTTCCCTTCTAGCACATCAGCTCAAGGCTTGGTATGCCCCTTTCAGCTCAATACAGGTGGCATTTCCAGCCAAGCACCTCTTTAAAGCTTGCTATTCCTGGTGTACTGGTGAATTCCCAATCGCAGTTGCACCTCCTCACTTCTCTCCACACAATAAATATAGAAACACTCAAGCAGCTCCTCTGCTTTTGCTCTCAGCGCTGGCCAAGTAAAGACCACCCGTAGCAGGCATAGCTCTCCAGCAGGTGCACAAGCTTGTGCCGAGTGTGTGCATGATGTACAGGCAATTCAAATGCATCATTTGAGTGTCCAGCTTTGGCTGCAGGCATGAGGGCAACTTTTCTTAACTGGGCCTAATGAATGTCTCCTTTCTTCCTCTGAACAGTCAGTTAGAGCTAGCCGTAGTCAAGGAAACTCCTTCACTCTAGGAACTAGTTGAAAGAGGTCAAAGTGCCCCTCTGTCCCTCCTAGCAGCTTAGCTCCATCTATGGTAAGAGATGCCAAACTTTGCACTCTGTCATTGATAACAAGGGTTTTGCAATAGGTATGCTAGAAAAATCTGTTGCATGTTTCAGAACAGGACTGAGCATTCAAAATAAGGTGGGAGTGGACAACTCAATAAGTTGGACTTACTCAATAAGTCACTTACACTAAAAGGTCTTTTAAAACCTCCTTTATTCTTTCATTTCCTCTGAAGAGCCAAACACAGACAAGATCCAGAGAAGAAGAGACTGATAAAGTCAGGATATTCCAACCCAAATGGCCTTGATGATAGACAGACCACGATATTCCCCAGAGTCCAGACCACTTCTGGCCATGCGAACCCAGGATATCAGCCAAACAACCCGTATGAGATGCATTCCTCAAATAGAGGTCGTCCTCTGGAGAGGGACTATGATGATTTGGTAAGTGTTTCACATAGGTCTGTGGGAATTGCATTCCTGAACTGTAGCATTGTGGACTACAGACACTGCTGGAACCTAAACTCCATGCTGTCCATCCTCCTTTGATCTAGAAGGCCAAAGTGGTACAAAGGCAACCAAACAAATGTAGCTGCAGCTGAAAAAATTTCCCTAATACAGCACTCATCTTATGAAGACCTTTCTAAAGACCCAGTAATCATCCTTGAGTCACCGGAGGGATATGTGAAAAGCAAGGGTCAAAGCAACAGTTTGGCTGCCCAGTGGTCTGCTGTGTCATAGGACATTTGTCTGCATTGACCGAACACATCCTTCAGCACAAGCATGCATGCAAGCCTCACAGGCTTACAGGTTACAACCTGCGCTTCTTTTAAGCCAGCTGTAGTGTCAATAGGTGCTGCAGTGGCATTTCCCATTTGCAGCCTCATGCAAGATTCACAGTCAGCTTAAGCTGGCACAGCTGCCCAGAGGGTCAGTGTCCTCCCACCCGCTCTGCCACTGCCTCATTCACAGCAAAAGCCTGTGCAGTTGCTGCAGCTTTGCAAAGGGGTAAAGTGTAAAGTGCCATGAAAAAGCTAGCACAGCTTTTGCATTGATAGAGCCCAGAGGAGCCTGTTCAGCAGAAGCGTGTCATTAGCTGGAAGATCTGTTCTGAAAAAAAGGCCTGTTTTATCCTTGAACTCTGCAAGGGACCTGCAGAGGGGGCAGAGGCTTGAGAAGTGCTATGCTGTGATGTGATGTGATTGATTTGCTGGGTTCTGCATGCATCCCGTAAATGGGAAGCACATTGTCCATTCAAAACTAATTTTAGCTCCACCTCTGTGGTGCAAGAAACTACCCCTGTTTAGTGAAGAAAATCTGTTTAATTGTAATACACTTATGTGTTTTGCAGAATTGAGGCCTAAACCATGATAGAAGCAACACAGAAACCTGACATTTACAAAAAAAAAAAAAAAAAACCCAAACCCAAACCCAAACCCCCCCACTTTTAAAAAGCTGCCAATTAAGAAAAGGAAAAGGTCTGTTTAGTTAGTTTATTGATCAGATTCACATAAATTTTGCCATTTCTCGCTTTCCAAAGATGTCAACTTTTCACTGATTAATATCTGCCTGTAAAATACATTTGGTGTTCCTTGAGGGCTAGTGTGTCACTTAGAGAAAGGTCTACCATGTGCTGAACTGTTCTGAGAAAGGAGCTTTCTGACACAGAGCTACTCTTTGTTTCTTTTCTTGTCCAAATTCTCTGTAGTACGAAACGTCACGGGGGCCTGAGGGCTTTAGGATGCAGAGCAGATACTAAATGACCAGAGCAGTAGAAGGATGGACGACCACTGCAACAATGAGTCAGACCAAAGAGTTTCACAGCCTCTCATCAATGCAGTTACTTCGGCAGAAGAGACAACAAAGTCCATGACCCCAGAGTCTCTGAAGATTTTCTGAAGGAAGACACCTGCTTGAAAGAGATCATGGACAACTCTCTGAAAAAAGGGAAAAATGAAGCAGAGGGTAGGGAGAAGAAGAGGACTTTTTAGAGAACTAATGGGCTCCAATAAACATTAGATTTCTTTCAGAAGACCAGTACATTGGCAAGAGAGTCAGTGTAGACATGATACCAAGATTTTAACCCTGCTGTTTCTCAGTTCTTCTGGAAGATGGCCCAGGCAATATGTGTGATGCTGAAAAATGTCAGCACCCAGAGCTTTGCCTGTATTTGTGCTCACTCCATGTCAGCTACAGGCAGCCTGCATGGCTTTAGGCAGATCAAAGCAAGATCAAAACTGTTCTTCATGAGAACCTGACCTGTTTCTCTCTGCTGTGTCAGATACAGTCTTTTTCCCCTCCTCAACCCCCCAATATTTCCTATCTGAAAGTATTCAGTTCAGATCTCTGCTGACCTGTGTTGTGTGAGACAATGGTACTTGTCTGACTTTTTATGCAGCCTTCCTTCCCAATACAGTGATAAGAAACAATATCTTCAACCAACCACTGTTGTTCTACATCTTGGACAATATGTTGATTTTACATTCTTAGCTCCTGTGGAAAGTGTTAGCGGCTTTTTTTTTTCCTCTTGCACTCTTTATATTTTGATTGAATCTTCTTAAGTCTTTTTATTTTTCATTTCTTACATATACTCAATAAATCTGTCTGTAAGAGAATCCACATTTTACTGTATTTTATTGAGTGTGCGTTATCTATTGACTAGCATTAACATTTCCTTATATATAAAATATATGTATGCACAGATATGTACATATATTTATAGATTAAGTTAATTTAAAGCATCATTTAATTCCATGTTATATTTTGTGTTTTGGTTTTTATATATGCAGATTAACTTTTCCTATTAAACTTTGTTGTTTCTCAGTACCAAGGTTTTCTTCTGTTGCTGCTCAGTGGTGTAAGTGGTTTTTTTACAATTTTGTTAAAATTTGTGCAGAGTTTAGATGCAAGTGTGCACAGACTGGTTGTATCAGCACCCAGCTTTCACTCGGAGGTTCCAATCAGAAATATTATTAATTCTTAGTGAATCTGAAATGTTTATTCTTGTAGGGTTGGCACCAATTTTCCGTGATCGCTTTTGATGGGAATTGTGTAGTTAGTGCAGGTGGGTCTCCTTTGAAAATGCCAGACAAGTTTCTCTCTGTGATAGCAGCTTTGTGCGTATCGGTCTGTTAATATCACACATCTAAAAAAAAGAAGCATCTTCCAACTTAAATGACAAGTTCAGGGGCCAGTGGCAGAGACCACTGTATGGGGCTGAGGAGGTCACGAGGATGTGCATGCAGTGCTTTTAGTGATTAAAACCAGCTCCCACTCACCAGTTACACAGTTGAAAACTGGAAACTAAACAGTCCTGATCTTTCTCATGTGGCTTCTCTAGCAAAAGAAGATAGACCCTGCTTTCTCTGAACTGCCTGCAATGAACAGTTCAGAGAAGTAGCCTGATAAGAAAAGGTGCAAGTTTCTCTCTGTTGTTTTCCTGGGTTTTCACTGTTAACTGGCAGAATTTCTTTCTTCCAGATGACTCCTGTCCCCTTTGCTGCTGTCACCTGGCTGCAGAGCGCCTGCCATTGGCCGCAGTCCGTAGGAGGCCAGGAGCTGGTGGCCTCAGCCACCCTCTACCGCCTGTGCGCATCTCGACATGCACAAGGCAAACTTTACTGCATGCGAGCAAGGCTAGTCAGATTTAGCTGTTCATGATACCTTATATAAAGGATGGTAGCCATTTGGTCTTGCTTTCTTGACTTTTCCTCTGAGAGTACTCACCCGAGAGGAGTGAAGCAAGGCACGGTGGCTACCTTAGCACAAGAGGCAGAGAGGCCCCATCCTTCCTCCAGCTCGGAAAGGGGGACCAGCTCCCTTCCTCAACAGTTTCATTAATGTATGGCCCCCCATGCCTGCTGTCCCCTTCTTTTTCTTTGAGCCCTGTGTGTCCCCACCATTCCCTGGGTGAAGAAGATGTTCCCTGCTTCTTAATCCTTTGCTAAGCCCTTTCCTTTTCCCCTTTTCCTGATTTTTCAGCAGCAGGAAAAGGGTCTGCTGCCAGCAGAACACTCCAGGGAGTTTGCACAGGGTGAGGCACTGAAAAATGGGTGGGATACAGGCAGAAAAAATGGCAAAAAGTCATGAAGCTCAGTGTAGACTTAGAATCCTAGAATCATAGAATTGTTTAGGTTGGAAAAGACCTTTAAGATCATCCAGTCCAACCATTAACCTAACATTACCAAGTTCACCACTAAACCAATTAAGGGTAGAGTAGCAATTTCATGTTTCCTGGTTTGGTGGCTGGATTATTTTTAATTAAAGTAAAAACTAGGAATCATTAAGATTGGAAAGGACCTCTAAGATCATCAGTCCAATCATCAACCCAACACCACCATGCCTACTAAACCATGTCCCGAAGTGCCATGTCTACCCGTGTTTTGAACACTTCCAGGGATGGTGACTCCACCACCTCTCTGGGCAGCCTGTTCCAATGCTTGACTACCATTTCTGTGAAAAAATATTTCCTAATATCCAATCTAAACCTCCCCTGACAGAGCTTGAGCCCATTTCCTCTCCTCCTATCGCTAACTACATG